TGTTCTGTGATAAAAGTTAATAGAAAAAGAAATCTTAATGGCACTTCAAATTATTTGGAAAAACAAACTTAAGTTAAAGAAAACAAACATACACACACACACACACACACACACACACACACCACAATCAGAGGAGAGGGCAATCTGCTTTACCCAGTCTATTGATTCAGATGTCAGTCTCATCCAGAAACATCCTCGTAGACACACCCAGAAGTACTCTTTTTGTTGTTGTTGTTAATCCTCACCCGAGGATATTTTTCCATTGATTATTTTAGAGAGAGTGGAAGGAATGGGTAGAGATAGAGAGAGAGAAATGTTGATGTGAGAGAGACACATCAATTGGTTCCCTCCTGCATGGTCCTGACGGGGATTGAGCTTACAACCAAGGTACATGTCCTTGACTGGAATCAACCCGGGACCCTTCAGTCTGAGGGCTGATGCTCTATCCACTGAGCCAAACTGGCTAGGGCCAGTAATAATATTTAACTAAAAATCTGGGTTCATGGCCCAGTTAAGTTTACACACAAAATTAACTATCACATTTTCTTTTCTTTCTCCCTCCAATTGCCAATAACCATCATTATACTTTCTGTTTTTATGAATTTGACTACTTTAGTTCATGTAGTAGAAACATACATATTTGTCTCTTTGTGATTGGCCTGTTTCACTTAGCATAATGTCCTGAAGGTTCCAGTGTTCTATAGCACGTGACAGGAGTTTTTTCTTTATTAAGGCTTACTAACATTCCATTGTATGTATATATGTTTATCCATTAATCCATTGATGGAAGTTTGGGTTGCTTCCACCTCTTGGCTATCATAAATAGTGCTGGTATGAACATGTATGTACAAATATTTTTTCAAGACCCTGCTTTCAATTCTTTTGGATGTATTCCCGAAAGTGGGATTGTTGGTCTATTAACTTTTATCACAGAACATGAATGTACTAGTAGGTGCCCCATGGGATGTCTTGCATTCTAGACATACTCTTTCTTATGACCAATTTTCCCTTGATAATCAAGACTAATTATTCTGGTACAGAAGAACCTTTTTTGTTTTTTGGTTTCCTGGCATAAGGAGCCAAATGAAGGAAAAGCCACATTCTATAGGTTTGCTAGCATCCTCAGGTAGAGGTGAAATTGTATTAGAAGAAACACTCAAGGCAGAAAGACTACTTGGATTCAAAGTGGGAAAAGATTTCTCCCCATACACATCCTACTATAAGAATTTCCATCAGTAAAGAAATGAGATATGAACAACTAGAGTACTTCAACTTCAGTGGAAAGTAGAAATAGGAAAAAAAATGACCCTGATCAAATAAATTGAGACTATCTTGTCTAATGAGAGTAGGCAATTAAGATGACATTTCTATGATCCATGTAAGATTGTACATCTTTTCTTGAAGGTTATTCTTCCAGGTGACTGTGTAGGTTGCTACCCAAAAAACAGCTGTAATTTAAAGAGTCTAAGGCTATCTTTATAACCTCAAATATTTAATTCAAATGTAATATAGACCTTCAATGTGATATTAATTCAATCACACTTTTATTCATTCATTCAAAAAATATTAATTGAGTGCCTGTTTTGCACCAAGTATTGCCCTGTCTAAAACACATTAGTAAATAAAAGAGATAAATATCCTTGCCCTCATCTATAAAAATTAACCTATGATGGTTAGTTTTATGTGTCAACTTGACTGGGCTAAGGATGCAATAGAGCTGATTTGTCTAGGTTTGTCTGTGAGGGTATTCTGGAAGAGATTAGCATTTGAATAAGTTGACTGAGTAAAGAAGATTTGCCCTCACCAATATGGGCGGACATTATCTAATTGCTCCCCTACTCACCCTCCACCCCAAGAGAATAAAAACATGGAAGAAGAGCAAATTCTCTTTCTTCTTGAGATGAGACTTCCATCTTCTTCTACCCGTGGACATCAGAGCTCCTGGTTTTTGGGTGTTCCTACTCCAGGACTTACCCTGGATTATACCACCAGCTTTATTGGCTCTTCAGCTTGCCGAGTACAGACCATGGGATTTCTGAGCCTCCATAACTGAGCTATTCCTGTAATAAATCTCTTCATATGTATATCTATATGTATACAGGTAAATATAACATATATTATATAAGATATATGATATGTAAAATACATATATTTCTATCCATACACATGTGTGTGTGTATATATATATATTTATATAGATATATTTATATAGATATATTTATCCTATTTGACTATTTATCTGAAGAAGCCTGACAATATCTATATAATAATAAATGTACCAAATAATATATTAGACCACAGTGTTATGGTGAGAATAAATCAGAGCAGAAAAGGGGAAGAAGTAGTGAGGCCAGTGGCATGGGAATGGGTAGTGGGTAAGCTTTCTGGAGAAGGTGAGATTTGAGCATAGATTTAAGGAAGATCATAAAGAGAGCTACGAAGACATATCTAGGTGAAGAATTTCCAGGTAGAAGAAATGGCCAGCACATCAAGGCAACAGCACCATGAGGTGTTCAAGACATACGAGGCCAGAGTTGTCCCAATAGAGGGAGGGAGTCAAAGAATAACAGGTCAAAGGGATGATGAGGGATAGAAGCAGACCTTGTAGGGTCTGGCACACCATTGCTAGCACTTCAGCTTCTACTCTTAATGAAGTGTAGCGCCCAGCAAGGTTTAAAGCGCAGGAATGACATGCTCTAACTTAGGATTTCCAATTACCCTTCTGGTGGCTATAGAGAAAACAGACTATAGCGGAAGCAAGGTGGAAGCAGAGACCAGTTAGTAAGAAGGGGAAGAGGTGCTGAAAGCATTTAGGAAACTATCACTCTGATCACTGGTGAGGAGCTCAAGGTAAATCCTCTACATAAATAAAGTCCTTAATGTCTTGGACTAACTGAAACTTTGCCTTGTCTGCTACATGAAGATAAGGTGATGGTTACTCTTGCTTCAGAAAGATTTCTTAATGTAGAGGATCACACCAAACCTGAAGGAGACTGGGAATGGAACACCTGGCAACTCTGGGCTAAAATTCATTCAGGAAAATAATTTTCATTCATTCCATTTTAAAGAGCAAGTCAACAAACAGAAAGAAAGAAAGAAAGAAAGAAATGATTTCTACCATGGATTGCTTTTCCTGGAATTGCGGGGGGGCATGGTATAGATTAAATGGAAAGGTATGAAGAGGTAATAAAAGGGAGTAAAGCACTATTGCCATAACTGCAAAACAGAGGACCTCTCTGGGAAACCCTTCCCAATATAACTAAATTAATTTTGCAGCAAATTGTTAAAGAACCTTACACCATTAAACAACGATAGGTCTCAGTAATAAAACAGTACCAATGCAAAAGTAAATTTTATCCTTCAAAGTTTTATCAAATATATTTGAAAATTTGATATCCATATTTTTTATGTCACAGTAACAAACCATGAAACACTAATGCTGTTTTGGAAAAAAAAGTAAATAAAAACAAAGAAAGTTACACATTAATTTCATAAAAGCATTACTAAAAAATATGAAGGATTAAAGCAGACCCCAAAAATAGATAACAGCAAAGCACACTACATTTCTAATAGTTTACCAGTAGAAATGTACAATCCATCAGGTAAATGGGCCTTGGTCATATTCTTCTGCTCTTTCTAGAACAATAAAACTGCCTGAACTTGAGAGTTTCCTAAAGAACCCATTCGCTGCCCGGCTTGTGTGGCTCAGTGGTTTAGCATCAACTCATGCACCAAGAGGTCACCAGTTCAATTCCTGGTCACGGCACACGCCCAGGTTGCAGGCTCAGTCACGGGTGAGGGGCATGTAGGAGGCAGCCCATAGATGTTTCTACCTCTCTCTCTCTCCCTCTCCCTTCTCTCTCTAAAAAAAGAAATCAATAAAATTTTAAAAACCATATTTTTAAAAATATAACTCATTTGCCAAATATCTGTTTGGTTCCTTTAAAAAACAGAGTTCTGGCCCCACCAGTGTGGCTTGGTAGTTGAGCATCAACCCATGAACCAAGAGGTCTCAGTTCAATTTCCGATTGGGGCACATGCCTGGGTTGCAGCTCAATCCCTAGTGTGGGGCATGCAGGGGGCAGCCAATTGATGATTCTCTCTCACCATGGATGTTTCTATCTCTCTCTCCCTCTTCCTTCCTCTCTCTGAAATCAATAAAACATATTTAAAAAAACAACAGAGCTTTGGAGCTCAATTTTAAAGTACAAGGAATTTAATTTTATGTGCTTTTTAAAGAATATAATAGAGTCAGAAAACAACTAAATAATTCCAGGCTGACAGTATGGCAAAAGACAGCTAAAGGAGAAAAGTAAAAGTATTTAAGTCAAAGCTACTACACCACATATAATGGCATAAGCACAAAAAATAAGGAAGTAGAAATGGACAGCATTCATTAGCCAACTAATGCTTTTGCTAGTTCCCAAAATATAACGACCTAATATACAATTTTTATAGTTTTTATCATATTAAGTGCACTAATACTAAAACCAAAATATTTTACCTAAGCATTTTTATCTGGAGAGAATATACATGGCAAGAGGAAATGAAGGAGAAAACTAGCTTAGAAAGCAACATGTAGAATACACAGTGTTACAGCCTGTGTCCTACAAAACCTTTTGAATGCATGACCTTTAAGTTGCTGAAGGTTGCTTCAGAATTTGGCTCTGTTTGATCGAAACATCTGCTTCCCTTGCAGGTATACTGTAAGGACTTTTCTCTCAGTTGGTTTCAGAACACAGCAGTGAGCCCTTGTCTGTCCAATCACACAGACCCCGATACTTGTAAATCAAGTTCTGGGAGGACAACAGCAGGTCCACATTCCGTCACCCTTTCTCAGCCAGCCAGGCCAACTGACTGCTGTGAGGACTGTTCTTATCATGTCATCAAATCAAAACATGTTGAGATGAGGGACCATAAGAGGCATCTGCAGAATTCCCAAAACGCAGTGACTTTGGAACACTGACAGATGCATCTGTCATTTTATACCTTCAACTAACCTGATGTACACTGGCCCGACACAGTAAAGCTGTCCACAATCGATTCCAATTCTTTCACGTTATTTTCACATGTCTCTACTAGGAAGGCCTGGTGCTTCTTAGCCTTTTAATTAAGAAAAAAATTACACATAATAAGGTCATGCATAAGAGCTGCAGATTTTGTGTGTGAACATACATCGCACAATTAAGGATAAACAAGCTAATAATAACCCCATTCAAGTCCATTATTAATAAACCTCTTTCTGTCTTAATCATGCCTTTTACTTGGCTTAATGTAATATTGGATAAGGTCTCACTTAACAATTTACTGAGGCTTTAGTGCCTGGCACTATTGTAAGTATTTTATACATAGTAATTCTTTTTACTCTTACAACAACCCTATGAGGGAAGGGCCTTTATTATACCAATTTTACAGATAAGAAAACTGAGAAACAGAAATTAAAGAACACTTTAAAAGATCATGCTGGCAGTCATGTGACAAACTGCCAGACAGTGGTCAAGAATGAATGCAGTAGGACCAATTAGAAGGAACTGTTAACAGTCTACTTAAGAGCTGGTGGAAGCTTAGGCGGCAGAATGGCCAGATCTTGGTAACATTGTATTGGATTAGATGATGTTAATTGGGCTGGGCTGGGCTGCGCTGGCTGGACTGCACTAGACTGGACTGCACTGGACTGGACTGGACTGGACTGGATTGGATTGGATTGGATTGGGCTGGGAAAGTGTTCAGATGAAAGGAGGGGCCAAGAGTGATCCCAAGTTTTTAGGCTAAGAGAACTGGGCCAATTTCAGTAGATGAGTGAGGACAGTGAAGGTGAAAAAGTCTTATTTTGGCTGTTTTCGTTTGCTTATTTTTGTTTGTTTGCTTGCTTGCTTGCTTGCTTGCTTGTTTGTTTTTGGCAGGAAGTACCAGTCATGAATTCTATTTTGATCATATTACAATGGAGGTACCTTTAACACACACCCAGCAAAAACACAATGCCTAAATAAATGGTCCTAAATAAATATTTTTGAACTAACAAAGAACAAGTAAGGTAGAAAAATATGGGAAGCATCTGGACATAATGGTGCAAAGCTCAGTAGGAAAGAGCAGGGATAGGTTTGGAAATCATCTACAGATATCACCTGAAGCCTGCCTTGAGAGTGTCTGATGAGGGGAGAGAAAAGAGCTTTTTTTTTTTTTTGGTGTACGGGATGACTCTCCAACCAACCAAGCCACCTGGCTAGGCTCTTAATAGCTTTTTGATGAGCAAGAAATTCTAGAATGAAAGCAGAATATATCGCCTAAATAAACAAAACCCTTGGGTTAAAAACAAAGTGCCAACCAAAGATAAAATACTAAGTTTCTAATTTTTGATTAACATGTTTTACCATGTGACATAAAGAATAAGTTTAGCGCCCTGACCAGGTGGCTTGGTTGGTTGGAGCATTGTCCCGTACAACAAAGAGTTGAGGGTTTGATTTCTAGTCATGGCCCATGCCTACGTTGCAAGTTTAATCCCCATTTGGAGCACATGCAAACGCAGCCAATCAATGTTTTTCTCTCTCATATAGATGTTTGAACTTTTGAAACAGTTCTGAACATTTTTTAACTCTAGTAAGTTTCTGAACTTTTAACTTGAATATATTTTAAGCCATTACAAAGGAATTCTGAGTAAAACCAGGGGAGCTCTGGAACCTGTAATCAACATCACACCCATTTGCTCCACAGCTCTCGCCTTCTCATACGACCTTCCACCTAGTAGCTACCACTGCATACCCAGCGCATTTGAAGGACTGAAGGAGAGCTTGCTCAGCTGAACTGAATTTGATCTGGTTAGCTTTCACAATCGTCACTATCTGCAGCTTTTCCTTTGATACTATTTATGATAGCTAATATCTCATATAATGAAATATCACCCTCCCTTATGTACCTTTACAATTAATTTATTTTTCAGTAGATGGTAGCTTCCAATTTGAATAAAGGGCCTTGACATACCCCTTCTTCTCTCTCTTTCTTCCCCCCCCACCTCTCTCTCTCTCTCTCTCTCTCTCTCTCTCTCTCTCTCTCTCATACACACACACACACACACAGTAGCATTTTACTTTTTCACAGGTCAAAAATGAGATTTGAATTTTCAGATACTTAATAATTTATGTAAAAATAAATTTCAAAAAGCTTTATACTAACATTATAAATTTAGAAAGCCAGCCATGTAATAAGCATTTAAATGCAAATACACATATTTAATGAATATTACTTAATATTAAATTTTTAAGAAACATTAAGAGAGACAGAAAGTGATATTTATAGAATCAAAAACAATGCTCATGTATAAATACTATTATTCTGGGTGAAAACAGGAATCAACACATTTTTTAGTAAAATTCAGAATAGAATATTTTTAGCTCAATAGTTTCAAATGCCTCCTATAAAACCAGAAGCATGTCCTTCTAAAGCAAACCTAATAGATTATTTGAAGCAAAATATTATCAAGAAGCATTAACTTTACCACAAAGCATGGCAATCAAAGCACTTTCCCAAATTCTATCTAATGCTAGCAATCATTATCATTATATAATAAGCCAAGCCCCCAAAGTATAGGGAAAATATATATATACTTGACCATTTTCAATCACAAGTTCTTCAGAGAATAAATATTCTTTGAGCAAAACCTCATGAGAACTAGAATTCCCTTTCCAATATATGATCTCTCCTAGAGCTGTAACTAAATATTACTGAGTGGCAGAAAAACAAATCTCAAGAAATGATGGACTTTAAAAAACTTCATTGTAGAAAGCACAAAGCAAGTTCTAATAATACCAATTTGAAAATGATAGCTCCCCAGCTTCAAGAGAAGCAGATAAAAAACTCACAGTAATGACTAAAAAACCCAACCGACCTGCTGAGCCTCTGGACCTTAATAAGCATGATCACTGAGCAGCCTCAACTAGAAATTGTTTTATTTGGTGCTTGATTAAATCATTATTAAACTCATAGGTTTTAAAATTAATAGTTCAATTTTAATCAAAACTTTTTAAAGTCAAATTCAATACTGTATAACACAGAATACAAAACTAATTTTGTTAAATCCTTAGGTGTCCAATGTTGAAATTCTATTAATTTTGTGACATTAAAGATAATAATATACTATTCATTGACTAATCACAACTTTAATTATTAATTTCATTAAAATAAAAGCACAATTAAAGTCAGCTGGATTTTAAATTTTTGACTTTTCCAAAATTATGTTCTATATTTGTATTATATCTCTTGACACTGAGGTGTTATTTTCCAACTGGTTTATTAATACCTTGTGTATCCTGACCAAGATGAACTCTATGGCCTCTTCCAGCTCTAAAAAGCTAAAATATACTATATTATACAATTGTTATTACTTTTTTTTTACAATTGTTATTTTTAAGTCTCAAAACTTCCTTAAGTCTTTGCATATTATTAATACTTTTATCTCACTAGCAAACCTATAGAGGAAAGAGGCTTTAATCTTCTCTTGCAATGCAACAGAGAAAATAAAAACCAAGACTTGAATAATGACCATGAACATGACCTAAACTAGAAAACAAGCTGTTACCTCAAAGGGAGAGAAAAATTACCTGTAGGTAATTGCTGCTTCCCATCTATATTCTATAAAATACTGGAACTATTATGTTCAAAAGAAATATGACTATGGGAAAGACACACTAGGATACACAGGGTCATGAAATGTCATCAAAACAAAGTTTCATTTCCAAAACAAAAGGTAAAAGCTTCCTAAGTCATTTTCTCTTCGGTCAAAAACAATTATGAATTCAAAGCAAAAATAACAGCTAGACTTTGAGGATGCAGAAATAGAAAAACTCCATTTTCTGTGGTTTAAACGTCTTAATTTGACAGATATCTCTTCATAGAACAAATTTTTAAAACCCGCTCCCAAAAGCCACTAATCTATTGAAAGGGGAAAAAAGGCAATATAAGAATACGTACAACAAAAATACTTCAGGAAAAATTATAGATTCTTTATTTTAAAAATTGTACTTACTATTTAGTGTAATACTATTTCCATTAAATAAATTTTCATTAAATAATTTTAAAATTTCATACTATAGTCAGGTAGAGAGGTAGAGAGCAACAGTTCCAATAAGCATAAAACAGAACAAGTTAAAAGAGAGAGCTAGTAATAGTGAAGGAAAAAAAAGAGGTGGAAAAGGAAACAGAAAGATGGAAGAAAATAAGACATGAAGCTAGAGGTATAAGAGAAATGAAAAATGAAGAGAAAACTATAAATAGTTAGGTTGAACCATATAAACTGCAAATCATTTAGGCTGCAAGCTGAGTAAGTTTTTTGAACATCCCTTTAGCTCCTCAGCAAGGAACTATTCACAGATCTTCAACTGCTTTTAGTAATGCATCAAGCTTTGAAGAAACAACCCACAATCTTCATCCTATCTAATAAAAGACAAAAAGGGTAATCGACCATACCTTCACTATGCTTCCCATTGGCTAATCAGCGCCATATGCAAATTATTATCTTTGATGGCGGCTAATTTGCATACTGCAGGCAGGGCTGGCCAGCACCAGATGCCATCCGGGCCCCATGTGCGGCCCTGGGCGGCCAAGCTTAGGCAGCGCAATCGCGTCACCTAAGCCCCGTGTGCCTAAGCCCTGCCCCCAGCCAGGCCCCCCATGTGCCGCCTAAGCCCCGCTGCCAGCTGGGACCCCATGGCAATCCCAGAGCAGGCAAGTGCGGAGGGCGGCCCACCCCCAGGTGGGCCTGCTCCTGGTATTGCCTTGGCGATCCCAGAGCAGGAAAGTTCCCCACAGGCAGCACCCAGCAGGGCCTGCCCTCGGTCTCTGCAGTGATCCGGTGATCCATGAGCAGGAAAGCGCAGCCTGCAGGCAGCACCCCACCCTGGCCACAGCTCAAGGGAGAGAAAAACACGCAGTGGAGGCCAGGAGCCTGAGAGATCAACACAGAGGGGCGCCTGCTCCAAGCCTCCACGGTGTGGCTGGGGGCAGGCCCCCAACGGACACATATTACACACACACACACACACACACACGCACACACACAGGACGCCTGCTCGGAGCCTCTGCTGCCAGACTGTGGCCATCAGTAGGACATCCACTGAGGGCTCCCGGACTGTGAGGGGGCAGGCTGGGCTGAGGGAACCCCACCCCCCAGTGCACGAATTTCATGCACCGGGCCTCTAGTCACTATGATAAAACAATAATGTTTTATAGGATGACTGCCAAGGGCCCACACAAGCAGACAGAGGTTGCTAGTAAGCTACAATTTGCCTTATTTCATATCATTTACCAACTTGTAAATATTAAAAAATAAAAACTTGTTTGCACCAAGTAAATTTTTTCAACCACAAAGCGCCCATACCTCAGAGGTCTTTTATTTTGTATCTAGTCAGTGGAGTGCTAGAAGGCCAGAATTAGGAGGATGCATGCAACTTATATTGGCGACTGTATTCTTTACTGTTACATTCCCAGTTATCACTGTTGCTCACTTTCCAAACTATTTAGTACAGTGTCTAATAAGCAAGCAGACCAAATCCAAGACTCAGCTCAATAACTCTGACATGTTTTTATCCACCACTGACTCAACTTCCTGAATCAGGAGTTAAGAGATGGAACAGCCCATGAAATTTAGGGTAGCACCTAACAGGCACCAGAGTATGCTACCCAGAGAGCGCTAAACTTTCTAAAACCCCACATCCCAAATACTTAAACAACAAATTCAACCACAGAGGAAACAATATCAACCCCTGGATCGGAACACATTGACTATCTTGAGTTGAATGGAGAATATATATAAAACTGGATCATTTGAAAATTACAGCATTCAATTTTATACCATCTTTACCTCTTAACCTGGGCAGCATTGATTTGGACACCACTTCTTGCTATGACCCAAAGTTTTTTAACAAGGAGAAAAAAGACTTATTTCCCTCAATAACTGATATCACTAAGAGTTATGAGATTTGGTTGAAATTGAAGTAGCCAAAGAGGAAATAGGGCATTACTGTACACCTTGTGCCCTCCCTGTTAGGGTTCCCAGCAAACTGCAGAGTAGGAGTATGTTGCATCAGCCCAGCCAGTGTGGCTCAGTGGCTGACCTATGAACCAGGAGGTCTCGTTTAGATTCCACCTAGCATATGTTTCTTGAGGCAAGTACCATAGCATAATCTTGGCATATGGGATGATTAAGTTAACCTCAATGCATTAGCGATTTTTAGGACACATCAGATTTTGGTGAGTGCTATTTTAAAGATGCTAAACAAAGTACTAAAGAAATACAAAGTGGGGAAGGGACAGGATTCTCAGTTAAGGTGGATAATAAAGTAGGGAAAGAGGGAATGATGGATAGCTTCACAGGTTGCAAGGTTATCAGAGCGGGGTGTTAAAGGATATACAGGAACTTGTAAATAGAAAAAAGAGAAGGAGCATTTTAATCAATGTGGGTCAAAGAAAAAGACAACTTGAATAAAAGCAAGAAGATATGATCATGGATATGCGTTTAGGAAGCCAAGGACTCTACTGTGGCTGGAGTAAGGCAATGGCGAAAGAAGAAGCTGGAAAAGTTCACATGGAGCCCAAAGAAAAGGGCCTTAGACAATAAGCTGGACTTTATTCTGAAAGCAATACGGAGACATTGATGGTTTTTTTAATAAAGGGTGACAAGAACAGATCAATATTTTAAAAAGACAAACTTGGTGATGGTATGAAAGCTAGTTTATTGCAGAATGGAAACAAAGTTATCAGATACAAAATCATTACAAAAGGGAGTCTTTTAACTCATTAGATCTGTTAATTATAAATCCTGATACACGCCCCCCCCCATTCACCTAGGTAACATTGTTTTATGCACCTAAAAATAAATGAAAAGATAAGTAAAAACCACAGAATAAATTTTAAAACATTCTATGATTCAGTTTTCACAAATTCAATTCATTTTCCCAATAATTCCAAAAAAGAGAGGTTTTATTATGTACATCTTAGTTGTAATCAGCATCTCTAGTTTTGAAATTTTATATCAATGTCACCAAAATTACCTTCATACCATTATCTCATAGCATGCTGTGAGAAAAAGCCTGTTAAACATCAAATATGACCCAATAAAATAATTGCCATAGGGTTTTTATCCTTACCATTACAAGTTCTTCCTGTAATTCACTGCAACTTTTTTCATTATACTGAAGTCTCTTTGAAAGGTCTGTAATTACTTTCTTCTGCTCCTCAATCTCTTCATTTAGTTTCTTGTTTTTGGAAGAATACTCTCTTTCTAATCTGAAAAGTTAAAGTGTTGGAGCAAGTTTTTCAAATATGCTTTTAACAAGTCCTATTATACACCTTTCAGACAAGTGGCAGGTGTACTTTCAAGACAAAAGGCTTTACTAGGTCACCTCCTATTTTTGCAAATAAAAAGGGTTGCACATTCTTAAATATCTTCTGTTAACAGATATTTGTATATGCCCAACTGTACAAGCAGGACATGTTTAGTGTTGATTTGGTCCACAGGCAGGGATGTATGGAACAGAATGACAGATCTCAGAGGGGAGGAGAGTAAAGAGGATGGGAAGAGATTAACCAAAGAATATACCAATATATGCATATATACATAACCCATATATACAGACAATAGTGTGGGAAAGTCTGGGGTGGAGAAGGGTCTGGGTGGAGGGTGGCAATGTTGGGGGAGGTGGGGGACATCTATAATATTGTCAACAATAAATTTTTTATTAAAATTTTCAATTAAAAATTATTGTTACTTAGCAAATATAAAATTAATGCAACTGTTATTTGGGTTTTTTATAAATAAAATCCAAACTGAGTCCATTGAAATGAGACCATCCTCTTGCTGTCAGGAATCTCATGCACATCCCAAAGAAGTTGGTTCCCATGCTTCTGCCAACAGCCCCACCCACGGGAAATGAGTAGGGCAGGAGCGTACTGAAGATTAATGGGAGCCCGACTCTGGGAATTCCAATAGGGAAGAGTTGGGACTTAAAAGATGGAGGATTTAGGCAAGAAAGGAAAAAGAAAAGAAGGTGGAAGTAGGAAAGATACCTTCTTTCCTATGGGATTCCCATTCTATTATTTTTTTAAAGAGTTCAGCTAAGAATGTAACAACAGCCCAGCCAGTGTGGTTCAATGCCTCACCTATGAACCAGGAGGCCATGAATTGATTCCCAGTTAGGGGTGTGCAGGAGGCAGCTGATCCATTATTTTCTCTTATCATTGGTGTTTCTATCTCTCTCTCCCTCTCCCTTCCTCTCTGAAATCAATAAAAATATATTTTTTTAAATTACTGGCTAGGTCCAGAGGTTATGCTCATATGCACACAAGTTCTCTGAGATTGGACAGTCTGTTCCATGCTTCTATGTCTCTGAAGGCCTGGGGTGGGTGGTGGGGGTGGGCTAGGAGAAGTCAAAGGGGGAAAAAGGGAGACATATGTAATACTTTCAATAATCAAGATTTTTTAAATTACTGGTTGAAAATATTATAAGCATTACTAATAAAGGTAATGACAGTGAAAGAGTTTTAAATTTTTTCGAACTGTCTTTCAAGTGCCATCTTTATGATTTTTGCCATACTCATAATAATTACTACTACTGAAATAATACTTTCTTAAGTTAAATTAAGTATTGTAAAAGGAATCTTTATATTACTACTGTAAATGAAAAACCATGAACTATTTGTCATAAATAGAAACAAACATTAAAAATAAATACATAGCTCTAATTGCCAACCTATTATCATGTCCATACCAATGGTGGGAAAATAGGAGAAAATGATTTAAAATGTTTACTAATAAAAAAAATTAAAATAAATAAATTTTAAAAAAATAAAATGTTTACTAATGACTTTTGGGGGGAACATATTTAAAAAGTATAAATTTCTTAAAGCATCCCACAGAACATTCCAGATAAAAGGCTGTTGGATTAAAAAAGGTTAAAATTAATAGGAATCAGAAAGATCATGATCTGCCACTTATTAACTGTATGTCCTTACCCTCATTAAGCCTCAATTTCCACCTCTGTAAAACGGAGGTAAGAAGAGTAGCTACCTCATAAGGTGTTATATAAATTAAGGGAAACCATGCAATGCTGGGCTGGAAGTAAGCACGCATACTAGCCACTAGTATAGATTACTCCTACTATTATTTCTGCAGTTTGAGAAAATCTCAAACATTATCCATCTCCTCACAGATCATTTTAGGTGGCCTAGAAATCAAGGTCTTTAAAGATACTTTATTATGTCAGCAGAGATCATATAAAATGCATTAATACATTTACTTTCTAGTGCAAGAACTGCATTTCTGAGACTACTTGGAACAGCTATGATACTTAAAAATCTAAGAGCATTTCCATATTTACCTGTACAGGGAAGCATAGTTATAGTTTATGAAGTCCTTCACCCCCAAGCTACCACTGACATTAATGGGAGCTATATCTAAAATACTACACATTCACACTTACATAGGTTTCATAAACTCTTTAAATTAGAGAATTTTACATAAAACACTTACAAACTTAGTTTTGCAAAGCTCTCTTGTGCATTATGCTTTTCTCGCTCATATGCACTTTCAACTTCTCTGAACTCATTCTTGATCATTTCCAAATCAGCAACAGCTTCTGCTTGGCTGGCCTTTTCTACCTGCAAAGCTCCTTCAAGGTCTCGAATCCGCAACTGCCAGATGAGAGAAAAGTCATTAAAAGCAAGCAAGGAAATGCTAGTGGCATCAATCTCAAATTGAGTAGAATACTTTATCAACAGCAGATTATCATCTATCCAAACACTTCCTTCTTTCTGCTTTGGTTTAAAAAGGGAAATAGAGAAAAGACAGTTTATTCCCTTTCACAACATGTTTGTTTGTTATTGTTTTTTAAAGATTTTTTTTTAAAATTGATTTTTAGAGAGACGAAGGGAAAGAGAGGGAGAGACAAAAAAAAAAATCCATGTGAAAGCAAAACATTGATTGGTTGCCTCCTCCTCGCCCCCTACCAGGGATCAAGCCCAAAACCCCAGCATTTCCCCTGACCAGGAATCCAAAAGGCAACCTTCTGGTGCACTGGAGGACACCCAAACTATTGAGCCACACCGGCCAGGGCTTTCTCAACATGTTTAATGAAAGAGAGGAAGAGTGGAAGAATAGTTAACTGTGCTAAAGAAAAGGAGAGGTTGGGTATGATATAATCTGCCCCATCCAAGTGCCTAATTTTGACCTCCTAGTCCATTGACACTTCTTTTCTAAAATATAATAAATGAAGTGTGTGTTTTTTAACTAAACACATTTATTCTTCCCCTGTTTGAGAAACATCATTACATCTTTATAAGACTAAGAACGTTAACACCATCTTTTTATTCCTGGACGCCTTCATTTTAATTCCCCTCTCAGATTTAATCCTTCTCTTTATTATGTTCCCATAGTATTTTAGTATTTCATATTTTTATCTCTTCATCTATCTATATATCTATATAGTATTGCTGGTGATGGAATGTAAGTGCCAGAAGAAGCTCCTTCGCTTTTTATTCTTGCAGCTTTTAACACACTGATAGGCTATATGTACAGGATAAACACTCAATAAATAAAGCTGCATATTTTTAATGTTTTCCAAAATAAATTCATCCCATTACTGTGGATAAAAAGAACACTCTGATCAGCAAATCTTTCTGGGCCAGATGATAAATATTTTGGACTCTGCAGGCCATGAGGTGTCTGTTGCAACGACTCCACTTCGTCACTGTAGCATAAAAGTAGACGAGATAAAAATTCACAAGAACAGGCAGTGAAATCTGGCCTGTGCGCTGAACTGTGCAAACCTCCTCTAATACAGGAAAGACTATACCTGTATAGTAAATAGGATAATGAGTGTCTTAACAATATGCTACCCATTCTAAATGCACACCTTGGTTCTCTGAATATAATGCTGTTTTTCCCGGCTTAGTAAAATCCATACAAAAAATTTGTTCACATTTTACCTGAATAATTTCAGAGTTAAATTTTGATTCCAAATGTGCTGCTCTTTCTGCTTCAATATTTTCTTCTAATTTCCTCACTCGTAGTGTAGTCACCTGAAAACAAATTAAAAGTATGTTTTAAATAAACATCAATATTTAAAGTGGATATGGTTGACTATAGTCTAGAATTGTAATTAACACTTTAAATTACCATGGCCTCTCTTCTTTACTTTGTAGGAGTGTAAAAGTCATGTTAAAAATTCGTGTAGCCCTAACCAGTTTGGCTCAGTGGATAGAGCATCGGCCTGCAGACTGAAGGGTCTCAGGTTCGATGCCAGTCAAGGGCATGTACCTTGGTTGCGGGCACATCCCCAGTAGGGGGTGTGCAGGAGGCAGCTGATCGATGTTTCTCTCTCATTGATGTTTCTAACTCTCTATCCCTCTCCCTTCCTCTCTGTAAAAAAATGAATAAAATATTAAAAATAAAAATAAAAAAAATAAAAATAAAAATTCGTGTAGCCGCATGGCTCAGTGGTTGAGCATCAACCTATGAACCAGTTCGATTTCCAGTCAGGGCACATGCCCAGGTTGCGGGCTCCAACCCCAGTGTGGGGCATGCAGAAGGCCACCAATCAATCTTTCTCTCTCATCACTGAAGTATCTATCTCTCTCTCCCTCTACCTTCCTCTCTGAAATCAATAAAAATCTTTTTTTTAATTCATGTAAAAATCATGCTCAGGAAGACTGTTCCAGAGCTTGCTTGCTTTTTCCTTTTTATTAAGGTATAATTTACATATAATAAACTACATATATTGAACGTGTATACTTTGATGTTTTGACACACAGAGACACCCAAGAAATCACTGTCATAATCAAGACAAGAACTATTTCTATTATCCCTTGAAGATTCCTGGTGGCCCTTGGTAATTCCTCCATCCAGTGCTGACCACTGCATGCCTATCCTGAAATAGCTGCTGATCTGATCTTTGTCACTACAGGTCAATTTACATTTTCTGGAATTTTATATAAATTGAATCATACAGCGTGTACACTTGATTATTTGCCTTTTCCCTAGCATAATTATTTTAAGATTCATCCATGTGGTTACACATATCAATAGTTCATTCCCAATGGTGTATCTGTTCATCTGCTGATGGACATTGGAGCTGTTTCCAGTTTGGGAAGTTACAACTGAAAATGTTATGAGCATTTGTATGGGCATACACTTTCACTCCTCTGGGGAAAATAGTGAAGAGTACAATGACTGGGTCAAATGGTGTACATTTAATTTTTATGAAACTGCCAAACTGTTTTTCATATTGTTTCCTATTTTATACATCAGCACCAACACCTGACATGGTCATTTTTGTGTGTCTTTTTTGGGGGAGAGGAGGAATTAGACATTCAAATAGGCATGTAATAGTATCTCATTTTAGTTTTAGTTCGCATCTCCCTAGTGGTTAATGACATTGAGTGTGTTTCCATGTCGATATATAGGGCGTCCCAAAAAAATGTATACACACAACAGCTGATAGCTCCAATGATGTTTCTTTCAGATTTAACCCCTTGGAATTAATGATTCAAGTTGTGCATACATTTTTTGAGCATAAGCAAAGAGAAATGAAAACATGTTTAAACAAAAACTTACACACAAAATGTTCATACAGCATTTTCCATAATAGCCAAAAGTGGACACAACCTAAATGACCATCAATTGGTGAATGGATAAACAAACTGTGATATATCCATAAAATGGAATATTACTCAGCCATAAAAAGGAATTAAGTACCAATACATGCTACAACTTACAGGAACCTTGAAAACGTATGTCAAGTGAAAGAGCTCAGACACAAAAGAACACATATTGTATGGCTTCATTTATATGAAATGTCCAGAGTCAGCAAATCAACAGATACAGAAAGTGTGTTAGTTACCCTTTCCCAGTAACTAGGGGCAAAGGGAAGAATGAGGAATGTCTGCTAATGGACATGAAGTTTCTTACTGGAGTGATGAGAACGTTCTGGAATTAGATAATGGCAATGCTGCACAACTTTGGGATTATACTAGAAACCACTGAATTGTGTACTTTAAAAAGGTTAATGTTATGATATGTGAAGTATTTCTCAATTAAAAAATAAAAATAGTTCCTGAGCGTCAGAACCAAAGACAATGTCAAAGAAGTGACAGCCACTTCTCAGTTTCTGATAAAAATGCCCTCTAAGTGCTGCCTTTGAATCCTTGGAACAAGGGATCCCCATTGTTTGTAGATATAAGTTATGCATGGTACCTGCTACTACAGGGAATCTCTTATGTTTAGTCAGATTTTGAACTGACCATTACCTGAGGTGGGTCCAATATCAGTAAAAAAAGAAAAAATAATGTAAACACCACAAGATAAAGTTTCTGTCCTTAAAGAATTATAGTCAACTTCCTCAGTCTTCAGTATGCTTGTTTTGGGTTCTATGAGTTAGAAGAAGTCTAAGCAGTCACAAGAAAACAGCCCATAGACATTGAGAATAAAGGATTAGAACCAGAAAGGCTAATAAAAGGCAGATAGAGGGAAGAAACCAGTTGAACAAAGCTAATATATTTTTTTAGATTTCAAAAAGCATATGCATAAGTTTCTCTATCAAAATAGTAGTCTTATATTTTATTAAAATATGGAATATTCAGTTACTCCATGATAAAAGAATCAGCAGTCTTCTTTTCATTTTTTATGTATATGTTGTGTCATATTAATTAGTTACCTAATTTTCATTCCAAGTCAAGAATAGGTTGTTTTTCCTGCCTAGAACAAAACGAAATGGGTTGAAATAATAAATGAGAGGTCATATCTTTATTTTCAGACTTTCCTACTTTGAATGAAATAGCCAGAAGAAAATGAGTTTTAAAAATGTTTATTATTACTAAAACTATCAATTCATCGGTAAGGAAAGCAAAAATATATTCAAATCTTTAAGCTAAGTCATTCCAAAAGTGGGCTTTGTTGATAGACATTATTAAGTTAAAGCAACCCTGCTAATAAATGTATTTTTAAATCTTCTAGTCTGGTGAATTAATCCTTATATCCAGCAGAGGGTGCTAGAGGAACATCAACATGCTATTCACAAAATGTTTTTCCCAATAATACTGCCTAAGATTAAGCAGCACAACAATCATAAACTGTCTCATCTGTATCCAATCCTAATGTAATCAACAAAGTAAGGGCAGAAAACATAATGGAATTCATATTAAAACACAAAATCCAACACAAATTCATATATACCACAAGTCAATTAGCTATATAAAGGTTTGCCTGTACTACAAGTATTACACTATACATGTCTGTTCCCTAACACTATGCACAGCAGAGTTATTTATATAACACAACAGTCACATAATTTATTCTTCATTCGCTGGTTCTGATGTCCTTTCCTACTGCAATATACTGCCAAGAGATTTTTATTTCAGTAAATACTAAATGTTCACCATACCTTTTTTTTTTATGACATGTCTCATTAAATCACACTAAGCCCAATTAGGTAATCTGCACTTAAGAACAGTGAGTATTCATTATCTGAATATGGAAATACAGAGATTGATGTCTCCTTTCCAACCCTTTGATACATGTTGCCTTAGCATAACACAGGGCATGAGCTGCAGGCTCCAATTCAGCAACAGAATTAACCAAACATATTGAGACATTTGTTCTCCACACATTTGTTCCCATGGCTCCCATGGACCTGTTCCAAAGTTTCACAAAAGTTATGAAAACATGTGTACAATGCATTTGCTGAAAGACTGGACCAAAAAGCACCTACTACATTATTTTCTCCTCAAATAGAACATACCCAGCTCAGAGGATATATGTGAACTGAAAGGAATTAGTCAAGCAGTAAAACTCTGATATACAAAATTTAGTCCACTAAAATGGACTCGAGAAAAATGGGATCCTGCTTCCTGCTCATCGCCGCCTCCACGAGCTCCCTGGAATCCTTGCACCCAACCCCACTAGCATGTCTCAGGCGGAGTCTCACAAAGTCGCTGAGGATGTTAAAGCACAAGACCAAGCCATCAGACAAGGAGATGCTTGTTTGCCTACCGCCACTACAAACAAGCCATGGATGCTGGACCTCCAAGGCAAGGCCACGTGGATGCCTGAAATGAGCTCAAAGGGACTTCCAAGGAAGATGCCATGAAAGCTTACATCATAAGCTTTTATTTACAAATTTAAAAAAAAAAGAAAACTAAAAAAGATATATGGAATACAGGGACTGGATTTGGCTGTCAGCCACACTTTTCATCTAAACTGATATCATGCCTTGTTTTTCTCACACCATAGATTAAGTGAAATAATGAAATAAACCCTCTTTCTCAATACTGTCCAGGATACGAGTCTAACAGATTAGGGGTTGAAATGGTTACTGACCTTGCTGAGTAGTTTAGATCAATTAAAAGTGCATTTAAAAATAAAGAAAGTAAAAATAGGGAAGGAACTATCATACAAGTACCAACTAGTTAGGAATTTCTCAGTAGTATGTGAGGTGGCACTGTTTCCAAACAGTTGCACAAAGTTTACCCCAGAATGTCAACAGCTATCTAAATAGAAAGTGGCTGTGTATTTAACTGTTTTTCCAGATTTTATCACCTGATATTTCCATTAATGGACATTTTTGCAAATAACCAATATAGTAATAATCCATATTCAAAAAGGTGATTCTAAGAGACTCAATCATCACAGACTAAGTATATAATGGTTACTTTAGTGGTAAGGATATTTTGTTATACTTTAGTGACCATAACTAATTTATTATATGTGCATTAATAATTATAATACTTATTCCCTACCTATGTATGGAGAAAAGTGTAGTTACTGTACTTTAAGCCCTTAAACTGAAGATATCCAAGTATTTTTATTACCAAAAAAGACATCTTAAAGGGTCAAAGTCTCTAAGTATTTAACAAGTACTTGAAAAACAGAAGCACCATGGTATCATGCCACTTAACCTGACTCATATATGGGGGGTGGGGAAGGGTTATAACTAAGAATAATCTATGAGTCCTTTACTATTTATCATCCTTGTCCTAATCAAAGAACTTAAAAAGGAATATTTGTTATTCAATTAGTCTGACCT